AAGTATCAAATTTGGAGACCTTTCCTAAAATGTCTCTGGAAAAGAGTTCATATTAGTTTAATACTAGTAAGTTGATACTTTTTTGTGTTGCCATGGCAACGGGTTTCTAGTAGGCAGTTTTTTTGAAAATAGAAGTAATTTTGCTTTAAACATAAAAAATTTCTGAGTTTTATATTAAGTTACACTTCTTTTCCAACATTAATAACATCTTACATAATTAAATATAAGTTAAATCATTTAATATGCATAGAATATGCTAATTTGATGACGTCATTGGTCAAAATCCAATATGGCGGACTATATTATTAGCTCTGGCGTCATATGACGTCATAATTACACCAAAGTTATTAAAATTTAATTCTATTACTAAACCATTCTCTGAAAACTTGGTAGACATGCGATGAGTGCATAAAAACATACAAAAACGGAATTTAGGTAATATATAAGGACGCCAGTGTATCCATTATGATCGAAAGCCGGCTGGGGTCCGCGCGGACCCCAAAAGAAAATCAGATATAATTTTTTTTTATAGATGGTAGAAACAGAGTTTTCTGCACTGTATTGAGAGACAACTTTGTGGGTGACAATTACCTAAAATTTCAGAAAAAAATCTTTAGAAACAAAAAAGATATTACAGAATATATAGTGCTGGGGTCCGCGCGGACCCCAGGTGTACTGTTTAGGGTTAATTAAATGATGAAACCCAATGCAAAGAAAATACATAAGAAGAGTTTCCCACACGACTAAACATCAACAAAAAAGATATCATTAATAAGAACTATAAATTTAAATATCAGCACATATACCTTTGGAAAATGGTTCGCCATCAAAACATCGTCTCATCAGTAGGTTTATAATTTCCTGCAAAAGAAAAAATAATAATATTTTCATTAATTTACAGAAAGGCATATTAATCATTTGCTACAAAACATCAAATGGATGCCCAGACAGTGTAGTTAGCTGTCCTTTCTTTACCTCTGGAGGTGGATGTTGAAGAACTGCCACATGGATTAAAACCTTCTGTACCAGCTCAAAAACAGGCTCGGGGGACAGTAGGACAGTTTCTGTGAGAATCCTGAGGGAGTCGTTGGTGGCAAGTGCGCCGAAGCCATCAACGATCGCCTCTCTGTTCTCTATGTCTGACGTCTCGTTGATAATTGGACGGATGTAGATGTTTGCAACTTTGTGTAGATCCTCACTGGACAGAAGGGCGAGTGAGTCCACTATGTGTCTGTAACATGCAGCCCTCTGGCTTGACGCTGTAAAAAAAGAAAAGATAAAATGACGAGAAAGGTCACATTCCTGATTTGAGGCAATATGTACATGGTGGCTAGCTGGTCTTTTGGTTAGGGTTGTTGACTTCGTAGGTTCTACTATGGGTTCCCTGGTAGCCCTGAATGTTGTACCCTTGTCACTCATTTCCTAACTTGACTCAGGTGGAAATAGGTACAATGTACCTATAGCTAGTTTCGGACAGGGACGCCTTCTCGGATGTCAGAGGTTCAAACTTTTCCTTTGAGAAGGATTAGAAGGAAAAATCAGATCATTGGCATTTGTTCAATGGTTATTATTATCTTTAAATATTTAAGGGTCCGGCCGTGTATAGGTACAGAATGCATTCAGCTATTTCTAGTACAGTGTTATTACCCATGAGCTACTGAGTGAATTATTTGTGCACAAAAAGTGAAATGTTCATACAGCCAATTTTCGAAAACATCATCTTCGACTATCCTTTTATCTTACCCATACATAATTTCTTTATATGCACAGGAAACTCATTTGTGAACATGTCGTTTTGCAACATTTCTGATTGACTGCCGACTTACATTTTGGTCGTACAGTTCTCATACAGGTCAGGTTCCCAGCAATCCAATCTTTCATCACGTCATACGCCATGCGCGGCCCTGGTAGCTATGTTAAACAGAAGTTTACCCAATCAACAAACAAAAGTTAGAAAATTAAAAAGAAGTTTTTACGGCGCCTTGACATGTGATTCCAATTGAAAGATATCAACAAGGAGCACATTGAATAGCCATCTTGAAAATTTAAAACGTCAAATATATGATGTTAGCTTACTTCGTTTTCAGAATATCATCATGATGTACAAGGAATTATTGCAACTATACTTCTTTATCCATTGATTTTTTTGTTTAATCAACGCTCGCCACCTGGAGCGGTAGAAACGAAATATGATTAATGATAATGATTTGTGTCACAGACAACTAAATTATGCCATACTTCGTTCAAATACATAAAACTGTAAAATAAATATCAACACAAACTTATAAACAAACCTGATGAAGAGTGAGGGTGTCCCCCACCAAAGTTCTAGGCTGTGACATTCTCCTCGTGGATTTCTGAATACCCAGAAACTTCATGAATGATTTTGACGAGGCATCCATGTCAGGAAGATCTGTAATCAATAAGCTACATTTAAGGCATTTGCTCAAGTAAACATAGCCAATACCATTTCCTCGATCAATTGATAAATGAGGACTCAACAATTAACATTAAGACAATAACATCAATGGCTGCTGTAGCTTAGTAGCCGTTTCAAAGATACATTTTGGCTCTCACACTTAAGAAATGGTGACTATTATACATGTCCATTGTGTTGCATAACGCTGGTAATAGATTTTATTTAACCCTCAACAGTACACCTTCCCGGACTGATTAATCTGTACACCTGGGGTCCGCGCGGACCCCAGAACAGTTTTTTGCTAATTTTTAGAAATTATCAACATGCTACCAGCTCAATTGTTTTGCAAACTGATATGGGAACCTCTGCTTCCACATGACATACAAAAATTATACATTTTGAACTTTTTCTACTTTTTGGTGAAGAAAAGAAGACAAGAAGAAATACCCGATTTTTAAACCCATTTCAGACTGAAGGGGCTTTTGAGGCCCAACTTTGATCTCAGATAGCGGCTAAACGGCTTGCGCTAGAAGTATCAAATTTGGAGACCTTTCCTAAAATGCCTCTGGAAAAAAGTTCATATTAGTTTAATACTAGTGAGTTGATGTTTTTTTGTGTTGCCATGGCAACGGGTTTCTAGCAGGCAGTTTTTTTGAAAAAAGAAGTAATTTTGGTTTAAACATAAAAATTTTCTGAGTTTTCTATTAAATTACACTTCTTTTCCAACATTAATAACATCTTACATAATTAAATATAAGTTAAATCATTTAATATGCATAGAATATGCTAATTTGATGACGTCATTGGTCAAAATCCAATATGGCGGACTATATTATTAGCTCTGACATCATATGACGTCATAATTACACCAAAGTTATTAAAATTTAATTCTATTACTACACCATTCTCTGAAAATTTGGTAGACATACGATGAGTGCATAAAAACATATAAAAACGGAAATAAGGTAATGTATAAGAACGCCAGTGTATCCATTATGATCGAAAGCCGGCTGGGGTCCGCGCGGACCCTAAAAGAAAATCAGATATAATTTTTTTTTATAAATGGTAGAAACGGAGTTTTCTGAACTGTATTGAGAGACAACTTTGTGGGTGACAATTACCTAAAATTTCAGAAAAAAATCTTTAGAAACAAAAAAGATATTACAGAATATATAGTGCTGGGGTCCGCGCGGACCCCAGGTGTACTGTTAAGGGTTAAGCGGAATAATGGCCTATTTCCGGCTGCGTAATTTGATATTATTTAAAAAAAGAAGACTTTTTTTGTTATACTACTGTACCTGTTTGGCCCTTGGAGTCAAAGGTAACGTCGTCTATTCCTGATGTTGCCTTAAACCTGGAACAGAAAATGTTAAATGCATTTTCGTTCATGATGATGACCCTATAGCATTTCTCGTTTAGGAAATGAATCATGTTTTGAATAATGTTACGTAAATTTTCCCAACTACATACAATCAGATATTGTGACTAACAGGGCGCGGGAAAGATGCCTACAAAGTCTGCTGAAGTGAGATCGAAAACATTAGAAATGTGAAATTTGATACTTCCACTCTCTGTATAGTATTGTATCTAGAATCTATTGTGCATTTCTATCCTGACGTAGTGTTACCAGGCCTATAACAGAAACCAGAAACAGGCTGAGAGCCTGTTATGACAAGCCATAATTGGGTATACCCCCGAAAAGTTTTGTGAAACCTAGGGCCAGGCCTATCTGTTTCAAAATGTTCAATCCATTTTACTGCACTCAAATACATACATACAAACATACACCGGCAAAAATAGAGAGCATTTACCCCGGGGCGGCTTCCTTGGGTGCAGCAACGCTTTCCGTAACGCTAATGGTGTGGGGGACACCCGTGTCGTGGTTATAAACGATGTCCTGTGGACAACGAAAAGTCACTTGTAGTAAAAATATAGACAAGTTTTTTAAGAGGACCGAACATTTAATTGATGCCCATTTTACAGCACTTAATGTAAAGAAGCAGTGAAGATGCATCCGGCTCCAAGGTAGAAAATCAATGCGTCTACTTGACTTTAATATGAAATTATCTTGTTATTTGTTTACCTTTTTGTGGGACGCTTTTGCGTTTGGAATAACATGCCCGTGCTTTTCTTTTTTGAACACCGTGTGATCACCCTTCCTTTCCGCCCTGTACCTGGCTCTGTGTTGACCTAGATGATAATCAAACATTGATTTTCTCTTTTGCTGTCCAAATGTTAGCAAAATGGATTAAATAGTGTTTAGTGTTTAAATGGTCTCACTATAGATTTTCCATTAGCAAAAAGAAATAAAATACAAAAAGCTTTGCTTGTTATTAAATTAGTTTCATTGTTTACTCCCCTGACAGTAAAAATGAGAAAAATATGTGCCTGAAGATGGTACATTTGGTCATGTGCTAGAATGTATCAATTGTTCAGAAAAGTAATCAATATACTTCAACTTGGTCAGAAGTTTCTCTAGGTTTTATATCAACGATGTCCCTTTATAAATGATTGTGTCTGTTGGAAATAGAAGCAGGGTACCTTCATAGCCTTTCTCATCAACTTCGTATCTCCATTTCTTCCGGGTAGACGACTGAAAGACGAAAAAGACGAAAAGATAGATGTCTAAACTAAAAAAAAAATATGATTAGACATGATACTAACATTGAAAATCGGTTTTTATTCCTAAAATATGTATACACTAAACATGATAATATCTATCTAATAAAGAATAGTTAACCTAGATTTTCTATTTGTAAAACCAACCTCTGATCCGTCATGCAGGCGAGCGGATAGGGTTCCCAGAATCCCTTTCTTCATAGCAAGAACTTCTTTGTCCTCGTCTGGCGGGTAGAAGATCGAGATAACTTCTCCGTGTGGCGTCATGATGAACGACAACCTGGGGATTTTGAAATGCATAGTTGTAAAGTTGAAAGAAAAAAAAATACATATATACATATACATGCATTTCAAGTAATGGCTAGGAGCAGCACAAAGATGAGGTTGGACGAGGGATTGATATGCGTGTAGCTCACCATTTGGAGAAGTCCCACTTGCCCTCGTAGGTTGGTGATCCTGTAAGGTTAAAAAAAATATGTGAAACGAACAGGAATAGAACGAATAGAACTGTGCCCGGGCACGGTTATGTACACTCGATGGGACCCAAATATAAGTCCTTGGATACACGGGGACTGCCCAGAAACGTGCTTTCACCATCCAGTTGACCAGCTCCTCCAACTCCCTTCTGCAACTTGCTACATAATGTATCCAAACACCACAGGTGGACACACACCGAGGTTCTTATTGTCACAGTCTGTGGCGCGGTATATATTAGTACATGTCTAAAATGTGTCATGCATGTAAGAGGTAACATTAGTATATTTATTTGTTTATAGTTTTTTTTATTTATTAGTTTATTTATTTATCAGTTTATTTTATTTATTAGTTTATTCATTTATTTAAACATTAGCTTTACATGTTGTTTGCCCTCAAGTGGTGGCACTTTCAGACATGCCTACCATATTGTTGGTTCGCGACAAAGTTGACCGCGGCATGGCTCAGTTGCATCTGACAGAGCTGCCCTTCAGGTACAGGTTTAAGCGGCACAACGGTGACCTGGGAAAATAGAATCCAGAGATGATAATAAATGAGTAATCGATGCCTTCAAGATCTTTCCTTGTCCATAATTGCTGACAACCTAGAGGACCCATTGTACGTTATGTTCCAGGCCGAAAACCTTTCCAGACAAATATGGACTTTATATGTATATATAAAGGTATAATGTTAACCATTCCATAATTGGATTAAAAAGTGCCCCTATTCAAGTTTGGGATCTTTCACAGGTCTACTTGTAATGACCTCAAAAACTTCAACTGATAATACTGGAAAAATGTAAAAGAAAAAAGGTTTAAATTTTACTTTAGGCCATGTTGATTTGATTATATGGATGACATCCTCCGGGAACCCCAAAATTGATGCGCGCGTGCGAATAAAAAAAAGTTTTGCAAAAAAAAAAGATGTTTTCATTATGAAATCTACGTGGTCATGAGGGTTGAACAAATGGGACAGAATATGGTTTGGCGAATAATCTAGTCCTCAAGTTCATTTCTTTACAATTTCGTCTTTTTTCGTTTGATTTTGGCATTCTACGACATTGGTATGGTTTTTTTGTAACTTTAATATTTTTGCTCATTTTGCAACTGTTTTGTACGATTTACAGTTTGGTTGAAACTTTTTTTTTGAAACGGCCGAAAATTCATGCGCGCGCGGATGTCATCCATATAATCAAATCAACATGGCCTTATTGACAATCCTAGCAATACTATTAAATCAAAACTCCTTGATTAAAATAAATACTGTAAATAAATAAATAAATAGAAAAATGGGCAGAAACAGAAAAAAATCCAATTTTGACGTTATTGACATAGCATATTAACTAACTATTGAATAAAACAAAGATAAAGTTAAAACACCCCTGGTCTTGAATCCCCGACCTTCCGCTTATTAAGCCACTGCCTTACTCAGCAAATCCACTTTCAGACACACGAGTACTCAATCATATCTTTTGACTATAAAGTAGCTTACAGAACGTAAATTCCAACGGCCAATAAGCAACAAGAATGGCAAGATGCATACGTACACGTGTTGGCTTTTGCTCTGCGAACCATTTCTATGAGTTACCCACATCTCCAAGGCCACAAATGTACAGATTTTGTCGGAGAACGAAAAAAAAAACAAATATAATTATAAAAGCATGTATCAAATGTATCAAGAAAAAAAACTTGGGGGTATTTGCCCACCTTACCTCCATACCAAATTCAAGGTTCTTTTGCCCCCAAATGAATAAATCGAATCCAATTAACGCCATATAGACTGGGCTTCTTTAAATCCCTGGGGGCTCATCTTATGACCACCGAATTTTCGATTGTTTACTAGTACTAATTAATCATAAAAACAACTGTGATATTATTATGACGTAATAAGGGCACAGAACAAAGCTGCAAGATTCTGCACGAACAACTGTCAAAGGGGTTCTAGTGTAAAAGAAATGAAAAAAAACCTACAGTGGGGGGTCACTGGAAGACAGACGTAGAATGTCGAGACTGTGCATGATGTGCAAAATGAACAAGCACCGTACCAAGCACTAAGTATCTGATACCAGCCCAGAAAAACCAACAAACCGTCATGCCTTCAAATATCAAAGTTATCAACCAAGAAATGGGGTATCCAAAAACTCATATTTCCGCAGAACTATCGTAGACTGGAACTCGTTGCCACCAAGCACAGTTGGAGATCATCACTAAAAAGCTTTAAACAACTCCTGCAAATAATGTGCAAATATTAAGTGTAAGAAGTCGTTCGATGCGATATAGCTAGCTGCCGCCGCGCCGCGTGCCTGCGAAGCTAGTGTGTTACGCCGAAGGGCGGTTATACCGGCTATACAGTTACAAATATAGATGAAGTCACAGACCAAGAGTGGTCACGACAGCGAGAAATCATTGTGCTATATTTCTTAGCGGACCGCTTATCTTTCCATACTGGCTATTTTGTCGTTCCCGCATATGTGGTTAACTCATAACCGAACGCCCAAATACATTGACGTTTCTCTTGCTTAAACTACCTGCGCGATATACTATTGATCTCCCTAAACTTTTGACACCATTGGCCATTGTTCTATCTAAGCGAGTTGGTTATTACTTTAGGTTTGACAAGGAAGTAAATTCAGAAAAACCATGAAAACATTGCCATGGTGTTAATTTGATTTTGACTGCTCAATGCTATCTTCATCTAGTACTAATTTTTTTGTTGAAACGCGGCATTGTTTAAACTGTTTATAAGCTCATTACTTTAGCCTTGACGAGGACATGAATGTCAACACGATTAAAACATTGGAGTCTTTTCAGATTTCGACTGCTCAGCAAGATCTTTATCTACTGACGAACGTTGCAGAAAATTGCGCCATTGTTTGGGCTGTACCTGAGATTATTGCGCGCGGTCTTAACTACTCTAGTCGACAAGGAGATACATTCCAACATGCACGGTGGTAAAATTCGGGCCTCAATGCCCGCACCTGCTCTAGAACCCAAATCGTGTTCGATATGACGTAATTCGAACCGAACGGCGTTCGATCTGGGTAACCTGCGGTCATTTCCAGTAAAACTGGGTTTTCGGGCCCTTTTTACACGAGTAGTTCCTTTCAGAAAAAAGAATTGCAATATAAAAATTAAAACCGTATCCTGGACATGTACGCTTATCATTTTATTGTAAACATGAAACATGTAGTGAAGCTACTGTCGTATTCGTGGGTGATCTTAAATATAGTAATGATTCTTCACGCTAGTATGAATATCACCTTCCCACTTTCAGGCAAGATGACATGTCTGCAAAACTTGTTTAAGCCTGGAAGCATGGAGAGTCCAACATACCTCATTGACGGCTCAGAATGACTGATATTTTTCCCGACAATCGTGTTTTAGGGTTTTTAAAAATGCGCTTGATTTTGAATTATGGGTGATTTAGTGCGAAAAAGGCAAAAAAACTATACTTCGGAAATTAACAAATCCCTAAAACACTATCGATTTTTGATCTTATTCCTAGTCGTCGGAAAATATAAAAATTAGGGATTTGGGGTAATACAAGAGGCCAGGTTTAAACGATGTTTAAACCTAAAAACATGACATGGCTTGTGCTCAGAAACCCTAAAATAATCGTCTTTCGGAGCAAAATTGTTAAAACTCAGTGATTTAACATAAACCTTTAAAATTAAAAGGATGTAAAGACGACAAGTTCAGTTTTATTTGACGAAATTTATTCTTAAATACTATTTGCTTATTTTAAAATATTTTAGGGATAGTCCAAAACAGGCCAAAATAGCGTCTTGTAACCCGATCCTTTTTTTAAAACGCTTCTAGCGATGGGAAAGGATGCCGTAGTAACAGACCGCCATGATGATGATGATGTGATGGGGCACATAGAATAGTTTTAAAGATTCCCCAAAAGGCAGAGCGTGGGTGCTTAGATCAAGCTGTAGGGGTCCAGGGAAGGACCGGTTGGCATGTGTACTAGGGCAGGAGTCTTGCATTAAACTGAGTTCTTGGAGTTCAACCCAGGATCATTTCCTGACAATAAGCACATTGGAGTTTTTCAATGCGACAACATTGCCCCCCCCCCCATAAAAATGGTTTCCTCCTCCTAGCAGACTGTCCGGACCGTCGAAAGTGGATTATGGAGCAGCCGGTGGAAGATACCGTGTTTTGTCAAAGGATCTCTCCACGAGTCATGTGAGGGGTATATGTACATGTAATTGTGCGTCTACCACCAAAGGTGGCCCGACTTAGACCAACAGTCACCATGGCTAAGAGAGAGCCAAAGTCGTGATTCTCCCCTCTCATTTCCTGGCGGTCCACCTAGCATTAGGTCACACCTATCTTTTCAGAACTAAATTCGAAGATACTGTCAGAACCTTTTGTGCAGATATGGTTAACTCACAACCGAGCGCCTGACATAAAGCACTAAAGTCGTTTCTCTTGCCTATTCTGTCTCTGCAATGGACTCTTGATCTCCTTGAACTTTTGACACCATTGCCCCATGGTTCAGGCTGTATCTAAGCCAATTGTCCATAACTTTTGGCTTGACAAGGAGGTAAATTCCAGCACGATAAGAAAATTGTGTTTATCTGATTTTGAATGCTTTGCGAGGTTTTAATCTCCTGATTAGCTTTTGCCGAAATCACGGCTTTGTTTGGACTGTTTCTAAGCCTACGTTAATTGGTCATTACTTTAGCCCTCACAAGGACATAAATTTTAACACGATAAGAACTTTTGAGATTTCGTCTGCTCAGAGAGGTCATTATCTACTAAAAAACGTTGCAGAAAATTGCGCCAATGTTTGGGGTGTACCGGATTTTATTGTTTTCGGGATTAAATAAATGACAGGAAGAATACATACATTTAACTTTGATAAAAGTATATAATCTGAAGTCATTATCTACTGAAGAATGTTTGACAAAATCGCGCAATGGTTTTAGCTAAATCTTAGCCTACAGTATTCGGTCATTACTTTGGGCTCGACA